GGATCGCCGCGGGCACCTCCTCGTCAAGGTGAACCGCGGGCCCACCGCCTCTATGTCCTCCATCTTGAGGCCGCGAAGCCGCTCTGCCTCACCGCGAGGAAGGACGACGACGCCTGGCGCTAGCACGAGCGGTTCGGCCACCTCCACTTCAAGGCGCTGCACCAGCTCGGCAAGCAGGCTATGGTGCGCGACATGCCGAACAAGTCTGTGACACTTGCGTCACGACGAAGCAGCGCCGACGCCCCTTCCCTTAGCAGGCCCAGTACCGCGCGCAGGAGCAGCTGGAGCTCGTCCATGGTGACCTTTGCGGGCCCGTGACGCCGGCGACTCCAGGAGGGAGGCGCTACTTCCTCCTGATGGTGGACGACGCGTCCCGCTTCATGTGGGCCGTCCTACTGCCGTCCAAGGATGCTGCCGCGGACGCCGTCAAGAAGATTCCGGCCGCGGTAGAGAAGGAGAGCGGCCGCAAGCTCTGGGTGCTGCGCACTGACAACGGCGGCGAGTTTACCGTAGCGGAGTTCGCCGACTACTGCGCGGGAGAGGGCATCCAACGCCACTTCTCGGCGCCTCACTGTCGTCAGCAGAATGGCGTGGTGGAACGCCGGAACCAAACTGTGGTGGCCACGGCTCGGGCGTTGCTGAAGCAGAGGAGGATGCCGGCCAAGTTTTGGGGGGTGGCGGTGATGACGGCAGTCCATCTGCTCAATCGCTCACCAACGCGGAGCTTGCAGGGCAAGACCCCCTACGAGGCCTGGCACGGGCGCACGCCGGCGGTCGGCCACGTGAAGACATTCGGCTGCATCGCCTACACCAAGGATCTGGGGCTGCTCCGCAAGCTGGATGATCGCGGCAAGCCCGACATCTTCATCGGGTACGCAGAGGGAGCCAAGGCGTACCTTGTCCTGGACCCTACGACGTAGTGTGTCAGGATCAGCTGCGACGTCATCTTCGACGAGGGGCGTGGCTGGGATTGGTCCACCTCGGACGCCGGCAGCTCGGCCGCAGCGGTGAGCGACTTCATTGTCGAGTTCTGGGAGACTGGAGGAGCCGAGGGAGCACAAGGTGCTTCTCCAGTGGTGGCCGGAGCTACATTGCCGGCGCCATCGCACTTTGCACCGCGCTTCGCCGTCACCAAATCCGAGGGAGCCTGGAGGGACATTGGTAGCAGCGGTCGCTCCCCCATCACCCCAGCCGGCCTCGCCAACGCCAACGCCACCGCCAGCGTCCCCTGCTGCTCCTGCTTCACCGGCATCACCAGCGGCGGCAGCTGTGGCTGGAGACCAAGTTGAGTTTGCCACTCCACTGGAGGATGATGAAGAGACTCGACGCCTACTACGACGACGAGCTGCTGCGATACCACACGATGACGAACATCATCGGCGACTATCCTCCGCCTCAACGCCTCTTCGCCGAGCTTCACCTCACACATGCCGGTGAGCCTGCCAACTACGCCAAGGCCAAGGATGATCCGGCATGACGGGCGGCAATGGAGCAAGCGCTCAAGGTGGTGGAGCAGAACCGGACCTGGGAGCTGGTGCCGCTCCCTGCCGGTCACCAGCCCATCACCCTGAAGTGGGTGTTCAAGCTCAAAAAGGATGAGCTGGGCGCGGTGATCAAGCACAAGGCAAGACTTGTGGCGCGCGACTTCGTTCAGCAAGAAGGGGTGGACTACGACGACGCATTCGCTCCAGTGGCGCGCATGGAGTCGGTCAGGGTCCTCCTCGCGCTGGCGGCTCAAGAAGGCTGGCGCGTCCACCATATGGATGTCAAATCCGCCTTCCTCTACGACGACCTCAAGGAGGAGGTATACGTGTAGCAGCCACCGGGCTTCGCCGTCGCCAGAGAAGAAGGGAAAGTCTACCGCCTCCGCAAAGCTCTCTACGGTCTACGGTAGGCTCCGCGCGCTTAGAACGCCAAGCTAGATGCCACACTCAAGGAGATGGGCTTCCAGCAAAGCGCTCACGAGGCGGCGATGTACCTGCGGGGCAGTGGACGCTCTGTCCTGCTCGTCGGCGTCTACGTCAACGACCTGATCATCACCGGCGCAGAGGATCGAGAGGTGGAGGCGCTCAAGGCTCAGATGAAGAAGACTTTCGACATGAGTGAACTCGGCCTCCTCAGCTTCTACCTCGGCGTCAAGGTGCATCAAGATGCCACCGGCATCACCCTCCGTCAGACACATTATGCCAAGAGGATTCTGGAGCTCGGCGGAATGGCTTGCTACAACCCTGCCCATACTCCAATGGAGGAGCGGCTGAGGCTTAGCAGGCACAGCACGGTGGCGTAGGTCGATCCCACACACTACCGGCGCCTCATCGGCAGTCTGCGCTACCTGGTGCTCACTCGCCCTGATCTGGCATTCGCCGTTGGCTTCGTTAGCCGGTTCATGGAGCGGCCTATGGTGGAGCACCAACAAGCTGTCAAGCGCATTCTCCGCTATGTCGCTGGCACGCTCGACTACGGTCTGCACTTCACCAAGGCGCCCGGCTCCGCTCGCTTTGTCGGCTACTGCGACAGCGACCTTGCCGGCGACATCGACACAAGCAAGAGCACGAGTGGAACACTCTTCTTCCTCGGCAATTGTTTGGTCAGCTGGCAATAAATCAAGCAGAAGGTGGTGGCTCTCTCCAGCTGCGAAGCAGAGTACATTGTCACCTCTACTGCTGCAACCTAGGCTCTGTGGCTCTCCAGGGTGCTAGCAGAGCTCCTCGGCAGACATGTTGAGGTGGTGGAGCTGAAGGTGGATAGCAAATCAACACTTGCTCTGGCCAAGAATCTAGTTTTCCATGAGAGGAGCAAGCATATAAGGATCAAGTACCACTTCATCCGCAGCTGCCTGGAAGATGGAAGCGTCAAGGCCTATCACATCTCAACTACTGATCAGCTTGCAGACATTCTCATCAAATCTTTGTGCAGGGCCAAATTTGAAGAGATGAGGGGGAGAATTGGCTTGAAGCAGATCATCCCCAAAGCATGGCACAAGGCTAAGGGGGAGAAATGAGGGTGTTAGCCTAGTGCTGAACCTCAATGTATCCAGTTACCTACTATAGCTATTTACTATTCACTGTCATGTAATTTTCAGGTTCCTTGGCAATCAAGTAGGAATCATAGCATCTACTTTATGCAGTTAGAATATGCTAAGGAGTAGGTACACCACTTGCCTATATATGCAGTGGTTAGCATCTTCTTGTATCTAAGTTGTCATTGCAATTCAATACAATCCAAGCGGCCTGTTGGCCAAGCTGCCCTCTGGCAGCCCCAATTCTACTTGTGTTCTAGTTTGTTTACCAACAGGAGGGACAGGGGTGCTACTCATCGAGAATGAATTTTAGCGAAGCAGTCCAAGCATTTGTCACAAAGGACAGATATTCTGCTCTCGTGTGCACTTGCACCCTAGCTCAGTTTCTTTCTCTTCCACCTCTTCTAATCGCATATACGTATATGCAGTCATGCACGCACACTGCAGATGGCTTGCACACATGTTGCTTCAATTTGTTCTCATGAGAAGCTGCATGCTTCTGTCAGGACCAAAATACTTGGCATCCATGCGAATACCTACCGAAGTCGACAATGTTTGATCGGAGTTCACATGTTCTTAATGCAGCAGCTACAAATCTGACATACGGCAACAATGCCATGGGAGCAGCTTCAGCATACAGATCATCTACCAAACATATCTAAGATACATGTCTAATGCATAATCAACAAAATCGATTGGTCCCAATTATTCAACCGTGCATTGGGGAAACATACAGAGCTGCCGTGGAAACATACAGAGCTGAATTACTCAATTTCAACCGTGCCATTTCACTCCTCATTCAAATAGGTTTCACACATAATCAGCAAGTGCAGGCAAAGAAGCATGTGCAACACATCCAGATTCGCTCCTCATTCAGATAGGTTTCACACATCTAGCATCCAACGTAAGAAGAAGAGATGGGGATTAGGAGAGGAAGGCATCTGCGGAGAATCGAGGAACTGTTGCGCTTGCCATGATCGCCATCGCCGCAGATGCACTTCTCTTCCCAGCCGCTGCCGTGGATTTGGACACCATCGCCGCAGATTCGCTCCTCATCGCCGCGGATGCCACCGTCGGTCTCCCTGATGCAGTCGTTGAGCCTGTTCTCCCTGATGCCGCCGCTCTCCCCTGATCCCGTCGCTTGGTGTTGCGCTCGCTGCGCCGCCGCTTCAAGCGAGAGCGAGCCCGATAGCTGTCGTATTTCTTTTCGGGCCTCCAGGGACGTTTATTTTTTTCCGGCGGTTTCAGCCCAAAACACCTGTAATTTTAGTAGGCTGACCGGTCATCCAAACAGCAAATTTTGTTGTGGGCTGGAAAAAAATTACGGGCTGTAATTTACAGATGTTTTGGACTGATTACAGGGCTTCCAAACAGGGCCTAAAAGGTGTTGGTGGCTTAAATTGGAACAGTCCACTGCACCAATGCTCAAAAGTACTGTTTTTGGGGGTTGTTTTTCGGTTTTCATGTATGCGTAGCAGCAATGCAGCACTACTTGAGTGTTTTCCTGTGGCAAAAGATTATGCATCACTGTTAAGTTCTACTTGTCGTTGACTGATTGACTCCATTGCTTCTTAAGGATCAGAATCCTAGAATAGTGGCATGCATAGCAAAATATTTATTGAGAAGTGTTAATGGTTTTCAGGGATGAGTAGCAGCATTACTTGAGTGTTTTTCCTGTGGCTTAAGATTATGCATTAGTATAAGTTCTGTTTGTAGTTGACTATGTTGCTCCTTAAGGATCAGAACCTAGAATACCGTGCACTTAGTAAATATTTTTTTGAGAAGTGTCAATCTATTTTCTTAGGACACTGTATATGTTCCCTTTTAAGAAGCGATGTTTTTTGTGAGAACTGGTATGTTGCGCCTAGCAGTAGATGGACTTCTATCAGTTTAGTGATGGTTGCTGAATGCCATCTTGTATATTATTTGAAGTTATGCAAGTTTCATCAATGATATCAGATTATTAAACACATTTTTGCAGGATGCTTTACCCCCTGAGGAGATGAATTCGGCCAAGGAGCATTGTCGATCAGCTGATCTTGTCTTATGTCTAGGAACTAGGTATTGGCCATATTATTCTCTTGTTATAGTGGGAATTGTTTTTGCAAGTTCCTTCACTGAAATTAGTATTTTAAACTTTTTTGACCTTTAATACTTTGGTGATACATTTCTCATATCTGTCTAAACCAGAAGCAAACAAAGAGTGGTGGGTGCTATATCTGTCCAATTGCTTTTGTCAATGGACATCGAAAATTTTCTTTAATAAAGTTACACAGGTCACCTGCATATTCATGAGAAAAAGTTCATATACAACTCAGTTTGAACCATTTGCAAACCTACTGCTCAAACTTTGGGTCCACAGATATTATCAGGAAACATTGTAGTGTGTTCAACTGACCATTGCCATATTTCTGAGACTGCATGCTGGCAAGAAAGAAAACCTCTGTGGACCTCTGATACTATATGGATTCAATGCTGCCTTGCTGACCCCCATAACATCACACACTTCGTTTCCTCAACCATTATATACAGCTGGTCTCTCCCCTCTTGAATGTCCTTTCCCTCAACCTGTTCCCTTCTCTGCATAGGCTCCTACCTTCGTAGCTCCAGTGCCTCTAACTCTTTTCTTCTGCACTAACTGAACTAAAGTCCTAATTTTGTGTCTCTTGGTGATTTGTGCTGCATGATTGTGCGTTATCCATTGCCAAGCTACTGTCTTGATATCTCTACCACCGGCTTGCTAACCCTAGGCAAAGGGGTATGAAGCGGATTTCGGATGGTGGCACTGGCAGCGAGTAGGGTTGGCAAAGTTTGATTATGAGCTGTGGGTGTGTGAGGGTGTCTTCAGCAGTGCTATTCTGTGGATTATTGAGATTGCTGGAGTTATGGTAGAAAGTTGTGGATGGTGAGATATCTGGAGTTGTAATTGCCATTGTCGAGGCAGCCGTTGATGGTAACAAAGCTGTAATGATGTATTTTCTTTACTGATTTTGGACATATTGTCAGGAAGTTGACCAGTGGACAATAGAAATTCCTAGTGTACAAGGGTAGAATAGAAATATTTTATATATATGCAGGATTTAAATCTAGTCAAGCTGATGCAAGATCTGAGGGACAATAATACATGCATGCATGTCCGTTTCCAGATAGCATAGTAACTAAGAAATTTCTGAAAACATGAGATGTTCAGCGTTTATTATTTTCAAGAGAAATATGGAAAAGAATGATTTTAGAATCACCTACAAAGCTACAATGCTAGGTCAGTCACCCCCTTTTTTCACCGTTTAGACAGTGTTTGAACGGAGTTAAACGGCCTAAACGGTTTTGTATAGTACTACTACATATACATATTTGTGTACATGAAAGTCAAATATGCTGGAAAATATACATATTTATGCATGGAAAGTTCATTATTCTAGCAAATAAAAAATTTTGGAATGGAAACTAAATCCCACTCCACATCATATATTTAAGATGTTAATTAGTTGGGTGCTAATGTGGTAGTTGTAATCCTCCTATATCAACTAAATGGTGAATTAAATGGCAGTTTAGCCCGTTTAATCACATTTAACTCCATTCTGTTTAGGCCGTCTTTGATGGTTTAAATGGTTCAATCATTTAATGTACCGTTTAGGGCCTAAACAACATGGATGGCCTTCGTTTATTGTTTAAATGCTGTTTAAACGGTCTAAACAGGACCATAGTGTGGTTGTTCTGGTCGTTTTTCTTGCAGTCTTTATTTTTCAGTTTTATTCTAGTCTTCTAGAGTGCTGTGGATGTTTGTGTGTGTGTGTCAATGTTGTTGGGGATTTCTTTCCCTGTGTTTCAGACTTTCTTATAATGAAATGATACACAGCTCTCCTGTGTGTTCGAGAAAAAAAAGGCAAACAGTGTGCAGCTTTGATTGGTCTGAACAGCTGTTTAGGCGAACAATGACCATTTCCCTGGTCAATGGTAAGTCAGTTAATTGTTGGACCTGGCAACGTCACATTTTCCAAAATGCTATGGTGTCACTTTATTAAATAAGTGGTGCAGTGGTGAGAGCTTTCACTGAGTCACCAGGTCACGGGTTCGAAGCAACCTCTCCGCAGATTTTGCGGGGGGGAGGCTTGCCTCGGTTTTTCCCTTCCCCAGACCCCACTCATGTGGGAGCCTCCGGCACTGGGTCTGCCCTTTTGACAAGATAAGTAAGAAGAGGACAGTGACTCAATCAGCATGATCCTAGCTGGTTACATGAGAGGCATTGTAAAGGCTTGCCTATAGGGCGGATGTGCATTTTGCAATTCTGGTACTAGTTACTGTCTCCTAGCCTCCTAGGGAAACTGCAAGCAGCTGAACCCGTGCTAAGTCTTTTCTTAGGTAACATGAAAAGGATGATGACTGAAAGCTCCTGTTGGACCTCTGATTGGTTGATTAATACCAATTTCAGCATCCTAATTCTATTGCTTGAGGTTTCAGAATGTATATACGTTTGTTTTTTTAAAATTCTGGCCCTTAGCCAGGAGCCAATGGCCATCTTTCTCATGTGATATTTCTCTCCTTTTCCTCCATTTTTTGAATATCTAACTGTAAACAACTATGCTAAAAACAACCCAAAAATGACAAGTTCTCACTGGGAGCTACACTGCTCCTGATAACTTACTAGGTTCCATTTTTTTCTCAAACACACAGGAGAGCTGCATATCATTGTATTAAGGAGAAAACATAAGAATACAACCCACACACACTGTGTAACTACAAAAGGATTGATTTGGGAACTGTTAAAGTTTTCATTATGAGTAAGAAAACTGTTTGTTTCCACTAAAAAGTACACGGGCCCTTTTTTTTAGCATCTGATTGAAGGCATCATGTATCATCACTCTTCGGCCAATTTTATTAATTTTGCTCATGTCAAGTCGTCAATTCGTTATGTTACTTTAGCTTCGTTTTTAGCTTTCTAAATATCCGATTTGCTTTTATTTGTTGAATTACTTTATGCCAATATGCCCCTTGTTCTTGTTTTCATTCCTAATATCGAATACTACGCAGCTTGCAGATTACTCCTGCATGTAATATGCCTCTGATGTCAATCAAGAATGGGGGGAGGGTGGCTATTGTAAATCTTCAGGTACATGCTGCTTAATAGAAGTGTATTCTTTCTTATCTTGCGGTACATGGATATTGTAAATAAACACTAGATTACATGTCTAACTAAATATAATATATATTATACTCAAATTTAAACTTGCCTTAAAGTAAGATAATTTCTTTGTATCACTCTTAGATGCCCCTATTTACCATTGATCAATTGTTATCATTAAAACTGTTCATTTCTGAATTCTGATTGTTGCTCCTTTTGGCTGTTTCTTTATGTATTAAGAAAACCCTGGCAATCTAATGCATAAATCTGTAATTTTCCCCTTCACTTTCAGGCAACTCCAAAGGATAAAAAGGCAAGCCTTGTCATCCATGGACTTGTTGATAAGGTAGCTAGTATTACTTAGTCATTGAGGACCTGAGGTTTCCATTGTTCCTGTTATCTTTGTTTTTCTTCCATGAGGGTAAACACCACACTGAGGGCCAAGGGATGCAGTATGCACATTAAGAGAGTAATGAGGCCATATTTGATATATAACCTTTTGATCGAGAAAATGACTAACCCTTGTTTTACTTTATGATAATAGCCTACCACCCCTCAGCAGTATGGTGTAAACCTCAGAAATCTGGACCAAATTTTATTCTTGACTAATCCTAACATCTCAAATGCTATTATAATCATACTCATATATGTGACAGCGATCTATTTGACAATGTGTTAAAACAGGTCATTGCTGGAGTCATGAGCAAGTTGAGTCTACGAATTCCTCCATATATACGTACTGACTTTGTTCAGCTCACTCTCAGGCACTCAGTGAAAAGTGAGCTCATTTTACAATTTCTCATAACATTGTTCTTATCTAGCTTTCGAAATTTCTTATACTTTTGCATGCAAGAAATCAGTTAAGTTCATGAGTGTTTGGGAGGAGCTTCTTTAGCACCCCTTTGTGTACTTTTTCTCTCTTAAATGAAATGACGCGCTGCTGTCCTGCGTTGTTTGAGAAAAAGAAATCAATTAAGTGAATCACATTAAATGGCTAGCATGGTCAAAGTTACCTGTCGATATGATTTTATCAGGAAAAGATTTTTATAATTTTGCAAACATTGTGACATGGTCACAGTTATGCTGTAAAAGCAATAATAACTTGTATAATTTATTCAACCATGTTTTGAAATGATTTTTTGTTTCACCAGCTGTTCATGTAACAATGTCTTCTGAATAATGTACTGTGAGAATTAAATGTTTGTTTCCTTTATCTTATGCAAATGTGTTCCTGTCCCCCTTCTATTGTATTATCACTTTTGTTTTTTCAGAGAAATGTGTTAGATGGACTCTTCGAGTAACAAGTATTCATGGCCTCCGAGCACCGTTGCCATTTCTTCAATCTGTCAAGGTTGTGCCATTATGACACATACAATTTGTGAACATTCTTATGTTACCGTGTTCTTTTTGTGCTTTGTTGTCATTAAAAGATTGAGTCCTTGCATACAATGTTATATGAAGCAAAAAATTGAATATGAACTAGTGACTAATAGTGTAACTGCACTGCCATAGCTTTCTATGCAATGTCAGGGAGATGCTACTTTTCTTTTTCTCGTACAGACGAACACACAGGAGAACTACATGTCATTGCATTAAGATGGAACTATAGAGATGCTACTGGTCAACCCACTTAAAAGTTATACTTTAAATGAAGTTTCTTGAGACCTCGTCCTATAGGATTTGTCAACATATCTTTATGTGCTCTAATGAAATACACTTCCACAGATATCTGATTAAAAAATTCTAATAATCTATTAACAGGTTTCCTTTCCAGAAAGACCTGACATGAAATCTGTAGTGCTTAAAGAGCAACCATTCTCTTTGCAGAGGTAAAGTAGAAGGGAAAGATTTCCAATCTATTTATTGATCTAGTATTGTTTATATTATAGTTTTCCTGGTGTGGCTCTTCCCCTTTTATCTTATTAATATAGTGATACACAACTCTTGCGTGTTCGAGGGAAAAAATGTGATTAACAGAGGCAAATTGTCTACTTTTGTAGGGAAACATCAATGAATAAACCATTTTTCATGCTGTTGACATTAAATTTCAGTGATGGTTGCAGCTGCTTGAGCTCATCAATCGGATGGCCTGTTGATTTTCAGGTGAGTACCTACTGGATACCCTTCCAGTTTTCATTGGCCACACTTGACATTGTAATTAGTGTATGATTTACCTTAATTGGTAAGGCTCTTGCATAGATGGCAGTTACTGCCTGCAACCAGCCTTACCAGTAGGATCCAAGATTTTTGAACACTAAGCCGTAAATCCCTCTCCTGAAGTTCCTTTCTGTTCAGTTGTTGCTGTGTGGCCCTCTGATGTATATTAAGACTCAAGGCTATTATGGTCCAGCTTTTATTGAAAGCTTAACTTAGTCTTACAACTTGGGAGACCAGTTTACAGTTCAAGCACTCTGCTGCAGCAAGCTTGCTGAGCAACTCAACCTCCACCCTGAGCCAACCAAAAAGGCTAGAAAAGACAAAAGAGGATCAACGAAACTCAAAAGCTAACTCCAGCAAAACTACGAACACCCTGAACTTCTCTGCATTCAGACAGTCATCAACACAAAAACGTTAAAGCCCTGTACCTTTAGAGGCACTTTACTTTTCCATATTTCTACCATCTGCTGATCGATAGCTCCTCCAAACGTTAAAGCCCTGTACAAAGATCTCATTGAGAAATTGACTTATCTTTCTTAGGCCCAAACTGTTTGATACGGCGCCGGCGGTGAGGTGAGCGAAGAGGAGAGTGGAGGAGGCTGGACTGGGAATTGGAATGCAGAGGGTAGCGAGGAACCTCGGCGGTGGGAGCTTCTCCGGTGACGGCGGCTGAAATGCCAGATGCCACCATCGAAGGGTAAAACCCCACCCCGATGCACAGGGAGGTTTATTCCTTCTTCGATACCTATTACAATCTCCTAAGGTGCCCCTTTATAGTCCAGGTGCACTTCCATAATTAAACCAATCTACTAATAGAAACCAATCTACTAAAACTCCTCCCTGCCTTATCTAAACAGCCAGCAGCTTATTAGCCACGGCCTGGGCTGAGGCCTTGTTTGGGGCGACGCCTATGCTGGCGGCCCACAAATGAGTCCACAACACTGTTTTATCTTGCCCATCTGCAAGCTGAACAGTAGATAACCTCTCAATCAGTTCTTCCATTATTCCGATGTCTGCTGAGTTGAAGCTTCTTCTGAACTGCAAGTGAACCCTACCACCCTCTAGGGCATCCTCAATGGAGATTTCAGGATTTGCTGCAGATATTGTATAGCTCATAGAATCTGACTTTCAGTGGACAATCATCTAGCCATGTGTCCTCCCAGTATCTAGTTTGCTTGCCACTTAAAACAACCATTCTCCTTCCTCTACTGTAATACTCCCACACATCTAGAACACCAGTCCAAAATTGAGACCCTTTCCTTGATTTTAACTGAAAAATACTTTTGTCCCCAAGATACTTCTTCCTAAACAAATTGCAGACTAGACTGCCTTCACCAGTTACAAGTCTATGTATCAATTTACAAAGCAAACAAATATTCATTTGTCTCACATCAGTGAACCCCAGTCCCCAGTCCACCAAAATCTTTGGGTTTGGCTAACCTTCCCACTGACCATGTGGTACTTCCTTTTTTTTCATTTCCTTGCCAAAAGAATCTGGCTCTAACAGAGTCCAGCTGTTGATAATTTCCCTCATAGAGCATATAGACTCCTATTGAATATACTAGAGAAAAGATTCTATCAAAATCATCTTTCCACCAGAAGATAGCGTGTCACTTTTCCATGTCCTGACTTCTGAGCCTCCTGACCATTTTTTCATTGACAAAATTTAGTTGAGCCTTTGTAAGCTTGATGTTGCTAACGGGCAAACCAAGGTACTTGATTGGGAGCTGACCAATTTTACAATGTGGTAGGTCTACTACTCTCTGCTTCTCCTCTACATCAACTTCCATGACAAAAACTTCGCTTTTCCCATAATTAATTTTCATGCCAGACATAGCCTCATAGCACACCAAAATTGTTTTGATCACTCTGATATTACCATCCTCCAACGCTAGAAACAACAAAGTGTCATCTGCATATTGGAGATGAGTCACTCCACCGGGGACTAGGTTTGGCACCAAACCAGTTATTTCACAATTTCTCTGAGCAGTTATCAGCATAGTAGATAGAGCTTTCTCTACTAGATTAAACAAGATCGGGGAAAGGGGATCCCTTTGCCTTAAGCCTATGTAACTTCTAAAGAACTCTCCTCCCTCTCTCTCTCCATTTACATCCACTGCCACTCTTCCTCCTGAAACCCACTTTCATCACCCACTCAATCCATTTTGAGTCAAAACCTTTCTTCATTATCTCTAAGAACTTCCAGCTCACCTTGTCGTAAGCCTTGTCAAAGTCCAATTTCAGAATGACTTCGGATCTTTTCAACTCATGCAAGACCTCGTGTAAGATGACAACCCCATCTAAAATTTTTCTGCCAGGAAGAAAGGGAGTCTGCTGTTTGCCCACCATCTTTCCTGCCACTCTTGTGATTCTTAACATGTGCACCTTTGTAATGATTTTGTAAACAACATTTCCCTTATGGTTGAAGGATCCAAACATAAGAATGTGGCCTTTTGTACTTGGACACTGTTTCTTTGCAATTAGAAAATGCTTGTGGCTTGTGGAAGCATTTATTATTTTGTTGAAAAATTGAAATTCCTGTTTAAACGGAAAATATTTGGATGATTTTCTTCCCAAGGTTTCTGCTTACTGGCATTAACTGGAAATCTAGGTACCCCAAGTGCTTGCCGTATACGATGTGCCTCTTTCTTTTGTGTGTGTGCTTTGACATCTTATATATGTGTTGGCACCATTATTTCATTTGATAAACCTAAAGTGCCTCGTTCCTGTGCCGCTAGTGAAACCCCTGTCCAGATTTGAAGGACCAGTGTGTACACTACACAGCAAAACAAATAATTGTATTGTAGTGCAAATTTAATTAAGAATATGAAATGAAAAACTTGCATTAGAATAGTTATTGAAATATAAATATTTGCTATTTGGGTAGCAATTCTGTTATTCCTTCCATCCTTGATAGTATGGTACCTTCTTCGGTTTACCTTTTAGACTCGTTCTTTATGACTCTTTTGAAGGTGTTGATTATCACCATGTCGATCTGTTGTTTTACATCACATATATTTAATGAGAAATCTTATCAATGCAGAAGCAAAAAGATAGCTTCGTCAGAGATAAAGCTCTAGTCCTACGGGAGTTGCACTCTGCTGCAGAGCAGGAGTCTTGCGCTGGGCAACAAGAAATTCTGGAAAGAGAGAGCCTGCCAAGAGCTGAGACATCTATTCATGGAATTGTAACAAACATCGCCAGGTATGACATTGATGATGAAAAGTTGGCTCCACCCAAGGATGATTTGATGAATCACAGCCACAGCAACCCTGCAAAACGGCACATGGAAGGCACTGATTGCCACTCGCCACTGCCAAAGAAACTGAAGTACTTTTCGAAAGACGAGAAGCTGAACTGCTAAAAGGGTAATACAGTAGAAGGTAGATAGAGAATGCTGTAGGTTTGTTTATTTTGGTTATTAGGTGAGTTACATAGCATAGATGCATGGGAGGTTCGCATGCTAAAGTTGAACTGTTCTGCTGCATAGGAAAGTTGGCCGACTTTTTGTATGATACGAGCATAGCATAGGTACCTCCTAGGGGAAAAACTGGTTGCAATACTTGGTAGCATGTTGTAGAGCTCCTTACCCCAGTGAGGCAATGACTGATGATGCTATCCTCTTACCAGTCGGTCTGGTATTTACTGAAGGCATTATTTGTTCACTTTGAGGTCGAGGAAGTATCGCCTCCGATCAAAAAAAGTAATTACGCTTTTGACATTCTTTGCCCCCCAAAGTCTGATTTTGACGGCTATATTTTGTCCACCGAGTAATATCTAATAAATGTACTTTTTAAGACAAACCTTATGATTTTTATTTGTTCAAACAAAATATTTTGAAAGCTGTTGAAGGTCGAGTTTCAAAATTTTGACTAGAGTTTCTTGAAGCGGTAGTATTTGTGATAGGAATGGATGGAGTACCACTACCCTTAAGGAAACGTTTCCAATTCAACTGGTAGGTATTGATTATGCATATAACTAGAAAGGTTTTTTAGTCCTATCCTAGATTGGTGGTCTTATTTTTTCTTGAGCTTGACATACCAGCGGCCCTGAACTTGTATTTGTATCTATAGTGAACAACGTAATTGGATCTGAAATGCAATTTGAGCATTCACAAACCCTATCTATGCACTTAGCCCAAGGTGAATTTTGCCATTTTTATTTCCATCCCGCCATCATGTCTCCCAAATCTTCTTTGATTCCCCTTCTTCGCATAGCTCTCTGTCGACGTCAACCCCCTCCCCGCCTCCCCATGGCAGTCGAGTTCATTCTTGCTTCAAATCTCGCCGCGGTTCTGGCGGACCTTTTCGGCGCCGAACTTTCGGCGGGGCCACAGCTAGGCATCCAGCCAAACGCTCCTTTCAACTCCTATACCAGCGCATGGGCAGTCCTAGTTAATGATAGGTAGTACACGCCTTACTGTTATGGCGGATTCTGCTGCTGCTGCAGTTTTCAGCAGCATAGCTCAATTTGCAAGCATTTTACAGCAACAACTCAAATCTTTTGCACAAAAGGTGACAGAACCCCAGCATGACATTTGGCAAGAGCGTAAAGCGGGCAACTTAACTACCACTACTCCAAAGCAAACCAACAAAATAAAAACGCTACTTTAACTACAAGACATTCCATCGTCCATCCCTCGCTCCTCAGGAATCAGGATTACTGTATATCACCAAAGCCCATAGGCGCTGAAGTGCTTCACCCTGAACTTCCACTCTCCCTTGGCAGCGTCGAGGGACACAAACTCCGCGCCCTGCTCCTCCGCCTTCTTCACCAGCATCTCCCTGTACCTCTCCACCCTTGCCCCCTCGCAGTACTGCTCCCCAGTCTTCTTGTTTATGCACTTGATGTTCAGTAGAGTCACCTCCGCAGCCTTGTTCAGCCCCTCACCCACAGGGGGCTTCTTGCTGTCGTCCTTGTACACAATCACCTCCCGGTTGTTGAACTCCACTATTGACTCCAGATCCAGGAACCTCACGTCCGTCTCTCCCAGAAACTTGATGCTGCCATAGCCATGTCGCCCCACAACAAAGTCCCTCACCCAGCCGCAGTAGCCTGCCTCCGCACGTTCTTTGGCCGCAAGCTCCTCTATACTAGGCTCTGCGAAGTAATCTGCATGTGGAAGCTTAGGCAACAGCCTCTCAACTGAAGTAACATTCCCATTCCCATGCTGAGCCATGGCCCTGGCCTCATGCTGATTGTCATTCTCCACTGCAGGAGGCCTGCTGCTTGGTGACATGGCAGACTTACCACGCTCACTTTCAGTGGAAGCATCTGCACAACTTAATAAGATCAGTAAATGAGATTTGCCCTTGTTGGGGACAATATTTATATGAAAATATGAAAATTCCAGTACTGTAATCAAAAGATTTACCTTCATATTTGTTCAAATCAGTAGCATTCTTCAAAGTCGACTGCCGGTCCGTTTCTCTCCGCGAAGGCCACTGCTCAATTGGACGAATTACCAGATTCCTTGGGTTCTCTCTAGGGATGAAAAAAGCATCCGCCTTCGGTGTTGGAGATTCTTCATCATCAGCAAAGAATGGAACCTATATTGGAATAAAAGAAGAAACTGAGCAATGTTTTCAATGGTTTCACAATGGCTTCCAAAAGCTCCATTAACAAATCATAAAAAAAAAACTTTGAAGTTATTCTATTCTTACAGGTCCAGTCATTCATTACCTTGCCATCAGATATTGTATTATATTTTCTTGGCAGCAGTTTTATCCTTCTCTGTGACAAATGCCTAGGAACCGCCATGGACAATGCTCTACTTTGAAGAGGCTTCTCAGCAACCTGCAAAACAGTAAGAAGTTGCAATCAATCACCCCTTCGTATGTGGCACCTGGCTACCTGCTTATGGCACCTTTAGTACCACACCTTCCTAATTAACAACCACCATCTTGCTACTATCTCTACTGTCCACCTACTTCTACATAAAAGGGGCAGACCCAGTGCCGGAGGCTCCCACATGAGTGGGGTTTGGGGAAGGGAAAAACCGAGGCAAGCCTTCCCCAAGCAAAATCTGCGGAGAGGCTGCTTCGAACCCATGACCTGGTGACTCAGTGAGACAGCTCTCACCACTCCACCTACTTCTACATAAACAATTGAAAATGCTTAAAACTAACCAGCAAACTTGATATCCCATATTGAACTGATGGTGAAGATCCACCAATCCCAATAGACATCTGAGGCATTGCTGGAAGCGTCCCAAACGGATTTGAAACAGGAGCAGGCTGCATGACCATACTGGACTGGCTAGTTCTGTGAAAAATGCAACAGGATACACCATGTTAAACTGAATAATGTATTACTTTAGTAAAAAAAATCATAAGGTCGCCAAAACTCATTTGTGAATTGTGGGATAATTATGATCTCTGCCAAAACCATGCTCTTAGACTATACAGATATAAAATAACAATATGGCAGTCCCATGGCATCAAATATAAGCTAGTCTCCATGAACAACAACAACAACAACAACAACAAAGCCTTTAAGTCCCAAACAAGTTGGGGTAGGCTAGAGTTGAAACCCAGCAGAAGCCATCAAGGTTCAGGCACGTGAATAGCTGTTTTCCAAGCACTCCTATCTAAGGCTAAGTCTTTGGGTATATTCCATCCTTTGAAGTCTCCTTTTATTGCCTCTACCCAAGTCAACTTCGGTCTTCCTCTGCCTCTCTTCACGTTACTATCCTGGCTTAGGATTCCACTACGCACCGGTGCCTCTGGAGGTCTCCATTGGACATGTCCAAACCATCTCAACCGGTGTTGGACAAGCTTTTCTTCAATTGGTGCTACCCCTAATCTATCACGTATATCATCGTTCCGAATTCAAGTTTTTTTTTCATTCTTTGCCTACACCGTACTCCACATTAGACTGATCGTAATATTGTTTTTCCTTCACCTTGTTATAACTAATCAGTGTTTTAATCCATCAAAAAGAAATTACTAAATAGGAAAAGAATAATCAAGCGCATTTGAGAAATAGCAGAAGATCATACGGCTGTTCAATCAAGGCCTGATTCGTAGTGTTGGAAAAAACAGGGAATCCACCTGTAGAAACTGCTGTATCCATGCAGGCATGCATTTGAACATAAGTTAAGCCCAAATTAGTCTTTGAAGACAAATTATAAAAAGAAGAGAAAGGTGTAAATATAAAATACTGACCTGGTTGAATCAGAGGTTGGAAGGGGAACATGTTTGAAGATTGAGCAGCAGCAGATGGCTGAAATGTTGGCTGAATCATTAGAAGCAAAATAAATTAAGTACTAATAAATAAGAAATGATAACAAGAATCTAGTAAGCATGGTTATTAAGGTGGTAAGGCAAGGTGTGGCGAGCCACCCTTTTCAGTCGCCTAGTTGACGTCTAGGCGAGGCAAGGCGACACCATATGAATACGAAGAACTTCAGAGCTGCAGTATGGAGAAGGTAGGAAAAGGAAATTAAAAAAGAAAAGAAAGGGGAAAAACTAAGAAAGCCCAGCCCAAGAGACCACCAAAAAGCCCATGCAACCTTCCCTCAGCAAGACCCCCTCCTGAGACCCCTTCCATCAGGCGGCGAATCTATCTCTCCCTCCCTCCCCCTCCCGTTCACATCTGTTGCTGCCTCCGTGGCACCTCTCCTCTGGTCCTCCCCGCCTCTTCCCCTCACCTTCTCCAATGCTGGTGCCGCCCCCTTCCAGATCCCTCTCCACTCTGTGCAGATCGAGAGCTGCTGGCCTGCTGCTGCCCCTCTCATATCCCTGATGCTGCAGTTGGCCCGTGAGGAAAGCTAACATGGCCAAGGGAGCCGATGGGGATGGGGCAGAGATAGCCTTCCCTGAATCATGCTGGTCCTCCTCTAGTTCTTCCTCTTTCTTCTCCCTCCCCTCCTCTCTTGTTTTGCTGGATTTTGGTCGTGGCGATGGGAACGCCCACGATTTTTTACCGCCTGGATGCCTAGGCAACGCCTTAAAAACCATGCTAGTAATAAAATATGAGGACAAAATGACAAAGGATGCTTACTGTTGAAAAAAGTGAAGGCCCGCTGCTGCTAAACAGATTGCCAGGATTAGTTGAACCGAATAGGCTCCCAGAGGAGAAAGCCGGTGTACTTGATATTGGTTGAGCAAATGATGAGGAAAATAGTGGGGCTGATTGAGTGTTAGCTAACAATGAGCCAGTGCCGAATGGACTTGGATTATTCGTCATTGATGTGCCAAATAACGACGATGTACCAGAAGCAGGATTGGTATTTCCAAATAATGATGGCGAAGTACTTGCTGGAAATGTAGAAACACCTGTTTGCCCAAACATTGTGGTACTAGTGGATGATGTGAATGGGCTCGAAGATGCATTGTTAAATGAGGTGTTGAATGGTGAAGT